TGACTTCCACGGTGAAGGAATAACATCGTGTAGAAATCGAACCCGCAAAATTATAATTTACGTAATTACTGGTGGTAGGACCTCTTGTGAGTCCGCACGGGTAGGTACCACCACCCCGCCTATTTCTGACGTAAAGTAGTAATGAGTTTCGGTTTGAAGGGTGGGGTAGCCGTTGTAACTATACTGAGACTTTAGAACTTATATTTCAAGGTGGGTGGCGCATTTACGTTGTAGATGTCTATGGGCTCCAGTAACCACTTAACACCAGGTGGCCTGTGAGCTGGTCCACACATATAAGCAATAAAAAGAAAAAAACGTCACGTTTTACTGGTGGTAGGACCTGTTGTGAGTCCGCATGGGTAGGTACCACCATCCTGGCTATTTCTGCCGTGAAGCAGTAATGCGTTTCGGTTTGAAGGGCGGGGCAGCCGTTGTACTGTTACAAGTGAGACCTTAGAGATCATGTCTCAAGGTGGGTGGCGGCATTTACGTTGTAGATGTCTACGAGCTCCGGTAACCACTCAACACCAGGTGGGCCGTGAGCTCGTCCACCCATCTAAGCAATAAAAAAATATGTTGTAACGTTATACCGGAATATCAGGTGCATTGTAGTATATGCAGAATTGGATGGGCGGTGGAGAAAAAGAACTGCGTCTTACCCTCCCAAATGAGATACGCAGCAGTAAAATTGGTGATATTCTTGCACCTATGTTAATTATCTACCGTGTGGACACATGTGCTATATTCGTGGCTAACAACAGCCACTTTAAATGCTCTTGATTAACTGGGTAGGTAGAGGATTTCGCGTTCGTAGAGATAACCAATAATATTTAGATAAGTATTTCACTAGCTCTATTAGTCTGTCACTAGTCTTTAATAAAGGATCGGAAAAGGAGGAAAGGAAAAATCGTAGTCGTCGTGGCCTAAAGGATAAGACGTCCGGTGCATTCGTATCTAGCGATGTACCGGTCTTAGAATCCCGCAGGCGGGTACCAATTTTTCTAATGAAATACGTACTTAACAAATGTTCACGATTGACTTCAACTTCAAAAAAATTATGTTTAATGTCTCATTTTTATTTTCAATAGTTACATTAATTGCTAACGTAGGACACTTTTTCCCCTGTCTTGTTGTTAGCTTCGCTTGCAGCTTAAGGACCTATAACCAGCTACGCGCGTACGGCAGGGGGCTCACGGGTTCAACCTGAGAGAATTTGCTTACACTAGCCCTAGCAAGAGCAGTGCTTCGCAGAAACTACCGCCGGATCAGAAAGCGACCCGCTGAGAAGATCCGGCGAGAAACTCGTTTGGCTGTGTCAGCCAAAAGCACCGAGAGTGGATCCGGGGGATCCGACAAGATATGTTTTGGGTGACTTTGCGTTGCCCCGTGTCGCATGAATCCGATGAGGGGACAGCATTCAAATGTCACAAATAGGAACTTAGTTGTCCCATTGCCACGAAAACTTAAAAATACTTGAAACGATCTTTTGTTAAAAACTAGTGACAGACTAAAAGATTCAGTGAAATACTAGTGAAACGCTGCGACTATTATCAAAATTAATATTAGAAACATCCATTTGGTACCACTCCCGGCTTCAAATATAATGGATTGAGTGTATAATTTTCGAAAAATATCCCGCAGTAACAGTGACTGTACAAATAATCTTAAATTAAACGCGTGAATGCAGTAAAAACAAACCTAGACATATATTTGTAAGCGGTAAACTTATAAATAAATGAAACATTCAGTTCGTGCTGATTTTCCTATTGGTAGTTGTTCCGAGAATGTTCTCGAACATTAACCTAAAAAAACTTCTTCTGATTGTTTTATTTTTGGAGAGGAGTATCTAAAGTGGTATGCTACTGAGAAAATGTTTCAATTGGTCACAGATTTTTTATTTATTGCTTAGCTGGGTGACGAGCACTCGGCCCACCTGGCGTTAAGTGGTTACCGGAGTCTATAGACACATACGACGTAAATGCCGCCATCAACCTCGAGATACGAGTTCTTAGGTTTCAGTTTTTACAGTACAACGGCTGCTCCGCCCTTCAAACAGATTACCACTTCACTCACACTTACAACATGTCCTACCACCAGTAATATATAAATTATAATTTTGTGGGTTTTGATATTTATTACACGATATTATTCTTTCACGTCATCAGAGGGAGAGGTAGAGGTAGAGGAAGAAGAAGAGGTAGATCTAAGAAAAAATTGATGGATTCCATGAAAGACGATATGTGTAAGAGGGGAGTGAGCGAAGAAATTTTATATGATAGAGGAGTATGGAAGGAGAAAACATGTTTCGCTGACCGCAGGTGACTGGGAGAAGGGTAGGATAATGATGATTATTCTTTCACCGGGAAAGTCAATCGTGAAAATTTGTCAAGTACCTATATATTAAATTTCATTAGAAAAAATGGTAGCTGCCAGCGGGAATCGAACACGGGTGCATCGATTGAGTGCATCGGGCGTCTTATCCTTTGGGCCACGACGACTTCAAAATATTGTATAATGCAAGTTTGTTTTTATTACGCACTACTGGCCTTGATAGTGAGATAAGTTGAGAGCATTCGTTGGGTAGATACGTTTTAACTTGGAAGAAAAAATAGTGCAGTCGCATGTTAGGGCAAAAATAAGCTTCGATTTGAACACAAATAAGAACTCATTATTTTATTATATTCAGAGTTTTTTGGCAGAAACGCGAGAAGCGAAGCTGTGTTTTGTTTCTGTTTCTAATACATAGCTATAAGACATAATAATTTACAACCCCTCAGACACAGCCCACTGAGTTCTCGCCGGATCTTCTCAGTGGGTCGCGTTTCCGATCCGGTGGTAGATTCTGCGAAGCACGGCTCTTGCTAGGGTTCGTGTTAGCAACGTCGTCAGGTTTGAGCCCCGTGAGCTCACCTACTAGTTAAGGTTACGCTGGAATAGCCTCTCAAGGATTCCAGCTTAGGTAGGAAAAAAAAAATTACAACAATTTGAGTGTTTCTTTAGGCTTACACGTATAATAATAGTGGTTTATTAGCTGTCCAGTACCTGTGAAAGTGCACAAATGTGGGAAAATAAATCGAGCAGCTAGACGTAGGTTCTTGGGTTCTTCCAAAAAGTCCACCGAACTAGTCTCAGTAAATAACCACCACTTTGCTAAGACTTTATTTTATCTAACCTCATCTTGTTTCGTTTGATTTCACTCCAATCGATTAGTCTCAAATTAATCAACTTCATTTCATTTCGCTTCATATAATTTTCATTTAACAGTATATGTAATAGTATTCTATTAAAAATTGTTTTTTTTTTAATAGAAAAAAGTAGTAGAAGTAAAGAATATTCCGTTTCTTATTAAATATTGGTTTCCAACCATATTATGAAATTAAAATGGAAACATTTAAAATTGTATATACTCTTAATATTTTTAGCGAACGTACTAAAACTAGATTTATTACTAACCTAGGATTGAAAGACGTAGTTATCCAAATATAAATCTGGCGTGAAGCCATTGACTATAATTATATTGAGAGTGCCAAATATAAGTTCACTGCATGTACAACGAGTACTTCTAAATTTTATTAGATCTTTACCATTGAAGTTATATTGGTGGTAGGACCTCTTGTGAGTCCGCCCGGGTAGGTACCACCACCCCGCCTATTTCTGCCGTGAAGCAGTAATACGTTTCCGTTTGAAGGGCGGGGCAGCCGTTGTAACTATACTGAGACCTAAAACTTATATCTCGAGGTGGGTGGCGCATTTACGTTATAGATGTCTATGGGCTCCAATAACCACTTAGCACTAGGTGGACTGTGAGCTCGTTCACCCACCTAAGCAATAAAAAAAAAGTTGCCGTTTAGCATACCGAAAGTTATAATAATTTTTATATATTTTTTTATTTTTTCTCTATCAACCAAAATATCAGTCTACTGTCTATGGTATCGATGCATCTCTGGGAGCGCATTGTTAACTTTTCAATCCTTTATTGAAGAAGTCTGGTTTATGGGAACTAAGCTCTTTAAAAGCATTTGAAACTGCCTTTAGGCTATTGAATTTTTTTCCTACTAAGAAGCAGTCCAAACTTTTGAAGTCTGTCGTTACGAGTTTTTGTGAGTACGGTGGATGACGGAAAATCTCTAATCTTGGCTCTTGCTCAACTTTATCTCTTGTAGTTTAGAGACCTTCTCTTGTGCTGTATGAGGTCGAACGTTGTCGTATAGGGGTAGATTCAGTGTTGTCAGCTTCCACTTTCGCTTTTGGTTCATCATTGTTGACATTAGTTTGTGAGCGACCAAGGTGTACATTTTTAGATCAAAAATTTCATATTCGTGTTAATATTGTCATCAGTGCATCACTAAAAATTTATTTTTCGGGGAATTATATCTAAAACAAAGCTCTTTTTTTTGTCAATCAGTACAGAATACAAAACTCTAAGAAAATACCCAAATTGAATGGCTCATTGACGAAGTAAATAGCTTTTACGTGATATCTGTAAAATGCGGTCAATTTAAATTTTAAGGAATACAATTGTTTTTGTATTGGCAATTTACAACCCACTATTATAAATTTGTTATTTGTTTCACAAAGCTATAATACATCTATTTATAAATTTCGGCGGTTTTAATATGATATGAAAGAGGTTTTCTAAAATAAATATTATTTAATTAGCTCGTTTGTGCACGTTGAAAAGTAATCAGTCTTATTAATGTTGTTTGCTTAAAGAATATTTACAAAGCTCCAACAAATCATTTGTTGACGTTTATTAATGAGAAACTATTAACAATATTTGTTCAATACGTTCTAGTTGACCTTACATGCTATCCCGGAATAAACTTTCACCTAGAATCCGACCTTCAGACCACAGCATATGGTGTAACTCACATTCCCGGAGCACGTGTTTACGTATTCATGGCCAATTTGGTTAGGAACGGCGTCCGATAATTTTAAGTTCTAGTTTTCGGGTCTGGCTTAAACTGGTCATTGTTTAAAACCGTGATCTCATTCCGCAGAAACGAACGAGTGAGCTCTGCTGTGAATGGACCGTTAGATACGATACGAAGGTATTCGTAAAAGAAAATGGCGGAAAACGGGTAAGAATCCTTTTGATTTTAGCTAAATTTATGCAGTTTTTTTTGCATTTATAATGAAAGAATGAATGAATGAATGATGAATGATTTATTTTATTTCAGACAAAAATAAGTTCATATGTGTACATAGTATCATTGAAACATACTTAAAATTAACAAAACCAATCAAATAAAAAAGATACATTTATTAAAAATAATAATTAGTTGAATACATTTCAAATATTCCATTCAACTGATACTTTGAATCAACCATTATTAATAATATATTATTATTATTATTTAGTCCGCAAGTGAACCATGGTACAATGGTACAAGTAAATGTATTCAGAGGTAGGTTTTCTTAATCAAAATTTAGCTAATGTTTTTAATAGTCTAAGTTTCTTACGAACTAATCCTAGTTTAAAAGTTATTTTTTGTCTTTTCCTTGCGTTTGAAGCTGACTTCTTAATCCATAAGAATAAGGCGATTCGACCATTCCTATGCTACACTGGTTTTCATTTATTTTTTTAACTAAACGTAAAATCACCGGGATGGGTCAAAGTTGTAGATTAGTTAAAGCTAGTGTCGGCAGTCTGTGTTGTCAGCTGGTGCGAAAATAACTGAAAATTTGGCGGCTTTCCAGGTACGGCGGCGTGATGGGACACGTCGGTAGAATTCCGAACTACGGCAAAAGTAACGTGAATGTAAGTAAAAGTATTGATTACTGAAATATTCCTCATCATTTTATTGCTCTAATTGTACTAAATTGACGTGAACACGGCATAGTTGGTTATTGAAGCGCATAAACAATTTGAACGCATCTTGAGACTTTTTTGACTGGACTTGTTTTAATCGTTATCTTCCACCCTTTCAACCGCAACGTTTGCCTATTTCGCGGCAGTAATAGACATGAACGTAGAACATGCTCTACGAATCTATTATGTCACCACTAATAATTACTTGAATTTATAAATTTAGGCGGATTTTCGGTTTTACGCATAAGTTGTGTTCAATTCTTAGAAAGAATGGTGCCTAGAGATCAGAATACTAACATAGTTGTATCGTCGCATATGACCTATGAGGCAGTGGGCGTCTTATCTTTAAGCGATTAGGACTTATTTTCCAGATATTCTTAGTAAAATTGGTAGAGCTTAAGAAGACTCTATCATTAAGATTATTGTACGTATAACCAAACCTAAGATTGTTCAGTAAAGGTTTGAATAGATTTTTTCTAAAGACAGTTTCTTAAAATTTCAGCCAATGGGGTCGGTTGAACCCCCAGCGTGCATTCAAAATGCGATGATGACGAAAGACAAGAAACCTTTTACATATACACCTGGAGGTCTGGATTTATCCCAAATCAAAACACCAAGCATGGCCAGAAGGTTGGCCAGACAAAAATCGGCAGAAGATCACGAACAGGCCAACTATGCTGGATATCATCCGCAAGGAGGTCCGCAATATGGTTCCCAAGGAGTTCCACAAGGAGGAGTACCACCCCCTCCTCCGCCACCAAAGGCACCAGCTCCACCACCACCACCACCTCCAATAGTCATTCAAGTGCCGAATTCTAAATCCCCAAAACCGGTGGCTCTTGGAGAACGCCCTGAAATTGTGATTCCAGACAATCCCATCGGAATGCTACGGAAAACGAATAGTCCTTACCACTGGGAAGCGGAAAAGGCAGAGTTGCAAAAGTTAGGATCAGTTCCGAAATACGTCGAAAAGGTGCCGAGTCCTCTGACTGTCAAAATGCCGCCTTCCACATTTAGTCAACAGCAGCCGCAATCTTATACTCCACAAAACAACTATCAGCGACCCGTGAACAATCAAAGTCACCCCGAAAGTCCCATTCACAGGCCCGAAGCTCAGTACGCTCATCAGAAATCCGCTTCTCCAAATATCTCGACTCTCAACGGTTCACCTCCAACAAGAGAACTGTTACAACGTCAAGATTCCCAGTTCAATAAAAGTCCCCAGCCGTTTGGCAATCAGGCTCCGTCCAGTGTCAGCTCCCCTTTCTCTCCCAGCCCTAATAACAACTGGCGTCAACCAGAGAAAAGAGACTCACCGGCCAAAAACTTGCAATCTCATCAAATCAACCGCGGGCCATTATCACCCAACAACGCCCCGCATTATTCACCGGGCTACCAAAATCAGTCGAGTCCAGCCAACACAGCACCAGTTTTTCATACTCTTCCGAGAACTAGTCAGAGATCTCAAGATAACGGTAACAGTAATTTAATTTATAATAACACCAGAGAAACTAAGCCCCAAGCTCCACAATCAGATAATAACTCGGCACCTTGGAGGTCGAATACTATAAATAGATATGCACGCGAACCAGAAAATCCGCAAAGTATTTACAATACACCAAATACTAACGTGAAACAAGCTTACAGTCCTCCGTGGAAATCTAACGACGCGAACAATAATAACGAAAATAGCTACGTTCCACCTTGGATACAAGAAAACAAACCCCAACAACAAAACAATCAACCTTGGAATGCATCGCAGGATGTTAACGGCAATAGATATGCTGATGGTACAGCGCCTTGGAGGTCTCAAAGCAATGAAAAATCATCTATCACCCCACCCTCAAAACAGGAACCTCCTCGTTACCAATCAAGCATCTCTATTCCCGTGACACCGAGAAAACAAAATTCCCAACCTCAGCCCGAATTTAGCGCGCAGCCCCAAAAAGAAGCTGTTTACGTTAATCAGGAGCCCATATATTACTGCCCCGACAGTCCTAAGTCGATACCACCGTGGGTAAAGACTCAGAAAGAGAAAACAAAAACTCCTCCGCCAGTATGGTGCCAGAGACCACTGGAAGGTAAAAAGAGTCCACCGAGAGAGCTTGTTACACCACCAAGGGATGCTAATACAGAACCTGAGTGGGTTAGGAGGAGTAATGAAATGCAAAGGGGCGCACGTGAGGTCGACAGTCCGCCTAAATACCAACAGACAAGTCAGCCGGTGTGGTCAACACGGCCTTCGGAAAATCGCAAAAGTTTGCCCAAAGATAGTGCTTCTAACGTTCAGGGAAGTAGAATTATTCCCATTCAAATGGAAGTTTCCAGCACTGAAACTAGGGACGCCGGCCGTCACGGAGGAAACCAACCTCAACTGAGAATAACTATTGGAATGAATCAGAATCCCAATAATGGAACGCAATCGCCGTTCTCGCCACCCACACAGCGCATCATGAGGGTATTATCACCGCAATTAGTGCGATTAGATGATGGCCCGACACAACATGACTTGCCGACCTTGAACAGAACTTTTCAAGGGCAGGACAGTCAGCCGAAGACGCGAATAATCCCGATACAGATCGAAAGCAACGGAGGGGCAAACAAAAGGTGAGTTCCAAACTCAATCACGTAATCCAAACAACGAGAGGTCTTGACAAATTTATGCAAATTCCGATAAACGTAAATATAATTTTAAAACTTTTTCAATCGGTGTTTCTATCGTGTACATTTTGGAAATTATTTCAAAGGAATATCAGTTGATTTGTGATAATAAAACACTTAGCACACTGATCGTTTCTTACACACTTATCAATACTTGGTCTATGGTTTCAGCTTCGGTGGCCGGTACTAAGGAGGTGTTTGCACTGGTCTAAAGTAAACAGAACACATTTTTATTGCACCGCTTTTCGTTCGCGATGAGTCAGTGTATAGCTTGCTTTATATTTAGCGCCGCTCCGCTTCGCAATCGCCCTAATTTTTGTTTATTTCACTAATCGAATCACTTTTGCTTCGTTTATTTGATGTTTACGTAATATTAATAATTGGTATCGAAGCGTGTCTTTCACTAGTTCTTCCTCAGACTTCCATTATTATGTGCATTTATAAGCTTNCGCTTTTCGTTCGCGATGAGTCAGTGTATAGCTTGCTTTATATTTAGCGCCGCTCCGCTTCGCAATCGCCCTAATTTTTGTTTATTTCACTAATCGAATCACTTTTGCTTCGTTTATTTGATGTTTACGTAATATTAATAATTGGTATCGAAGCGTGTCTTTCACTAGTTCTTCCTCAGACTTCCATTATTATGTGCATTTATAAGCTTCCGTACAATGTTTTTGTACGTCATTCATTGCAGTAGGGATTGACGTCTGTGCAGACTTGCGATTTAATCTTCGATCGATCGATGAGATAGGTGCTATTTTTCAGCGAAAAGTATCTGATTAGTTCGTTGCTGAAAATAGCCCGTGTAAAAAAAAAAAGTGTGGCACTCGGGAACTGCCGCGATATAGCTATTGCATAGCATTTTTTATCAACTTATGCAATTATAATTAGACAATGATAATTTAATATTAAAACAATAATTAAACAAGACCACGCTATATTAAAGATTAATAAAAGCAAAACCTTAACTGTCCCCTTCACACTCATAAGCTAGACCGCGCGAGAGAGAGATGGGCAGACTTTTCTTGATGCGCATGCAGTGTGACGTCACGCCACGCGCTTATTCACAAACACTACACAAGCGCAACGTGTGAATGTGTTGAACGCGAGCTACATGGTAGGCGGAGTGAGGGGTGTTAGGTTTTTTTCGTTACGGAATTTCATGATTCCGTCGCCGCGCTCAACGCCCGCGATAAATGCTATGCAATAGCTTAAAAAGAAACCGTAATATTTACTTTTCTTGGGGCAGGGAATTACTAGAATGTAGATTACAATAGAATGGTGTAGTTCCACTTAGTCCTACCACGAATTCACTATATGCTCTTTTAGATACGCTCATGTTGCAGCTCACGTAGCAGTGTTGTAATGTCCACAGGTCCGATAATTATTTAAAAACCAGTAGACCTTTCCTACCTTACTTACTATTTTTATTGGTGGTAGGACCTCTTGTGAGTCCGCACGGGTAGGTACCACCGCCCCGCCTATTTCTGCCGTGAAGCAGTAATGCGTTTCGGTTTGAAGGGTGGAGCAGCCGTCGTAACTATACTGAGACCTTAGAACTTATATCTCAAGGTGTGTGGCGCATTTACGTTGTAGATGTCTATGGGTTCCAGTAACCACTTAACACTAGGTGGGCTGTGAGATCGTCCACACATCTATGCAATAAAAAAAAATGCTTAATATTATTGCTGGCTGTCTTCAATCAAAGCAGTCTATATCAATGCAATAAATGCAATGGATACTTATGTAATTATTGTCAGTCTCACTGAATCGTCTCGGGGTCGCTCTAAACAAAAGCTTTTCTTAATACATACCACACTTCAACTGCCTATTTGTTCTGAATTTTCATAACAATAAAAAAAACATAGGATTTGATTCAGCAGCCGTGTTGGCTTTTATTAATAACATCTATGAAAACTTTGCGATGTCTCAAAATAATGCAGCACAAAAATACAATCACGAATAGATTTACTGGTGGTAGGACCTCTTGAGAGTCCGCGCGGGTAGGTACCACCACCATGCCTATTTCTGCCGTGAAGCAGTAATGCGTTTCGGTTTGAAGGGTCGGGCAGCTGTTGCAACTATACTGAGACCTTAGAACTTATATCTCAAGGTGGGTGGCGCATTTACGTTGTAGATGTCTATGGGCTCCAATAACCACTTAACACTAAGTGGGCTGTGTGAGCTCGTCTACCCATCTAAGCAATAAAAATAACCCGACATTAGAGGCAAAGATCATCCGTAAGTTATCTTTTTAAATTGAACATTGCAAATTGAATTTTTTTAAATGGCATTTATGATTTAGTAGGTGGATTTAAAAAGACGAACTGTTGATTTGTTTTCTTTTTTTTTCTTGTGTTCGAACTGGCTCTCAAGATTTTCTTTCGAATTCTATGGCTTTTTTTTCTGGTTTATTTTTCAAACGGGTTAATTCCAAATTGTGACTTAATAACACTTCAAAACGTTCCAGTATCTTCTACCATAAATTCAGTCAAGAATCACCGCGTCAATCCAAGGCCTTCAAAGTACTACAGATAATCACTGATACCCAAGACAAGGATAGCATCACCAGTATGGAAATCCAGCATGGATACACCGATTTATAGAAATAATTAAATTATTTATTTAAAGAAATACATAGTTATTTATTGATTATATAATTATTTACATATTTACGGATGTTTGCATATGTTTAGTTCATTATGTAATTATTTACGCATATTAAAACGCTTCGTTATTGGTCATGTCATTACAGAATATTTGGCTTTGATAAGACATGATTAATTAAGCCTTTTATTAATTATATGAATATTTAAGTTACGTATTTATGTAAGAATATCTTAGTGTTGCAACTTCTTTTGGTAGTTACGACCTAGTATTATTTTCTAACTAAAAAGAAAATTTCGCATTGGGGAATTTATTATAAAAATTAAATTTATACAATAGGAGATTGTTTTTAAAAAGCGAATTATTTAACAAATTAAATACATTATAAGATTTACTTTTATTTTTAATAATATTGTGTATTAAAATTGTTTTGTATTATAATATATTCGACGATATATTTTATTTTTGTAAATATAACGAAACGGCGAGTAAAACAGTGCTTTTGTGATTTATATAACTAATAATGCTCACAATTTACAGCTAATAAACCAAAGAAATGATTAGATTTTATCAATGTATTATTTAAGTAGAATAGATATTTATAATGGACGATTTTTACACTGAATTTGTTGAACAACTTTCTTAGAGATAAATAACTACATTTTAAATTGGTTCAGATGTTTTGCGAGTTGGTAAACTTTTTGATGAAACAGACATTGTCAATGGTATTGGTCCTTTTTGCGTCGATAATCTTCAATGTTGAGGGTCGTGGCCTCTAAAGAACTGTATCTTGAACTGTCTTTGGCCAGATCTGTCTATTCTCGACTATGTGGATAGCATCGCGGACATGGTAATGCCATTGGTAATTACTGTTAAAAGAAACATGAATTCTGTAATTAATATACATACATATGTAGTTTAAAAATCGTTCATTATAATGTAATGTTAATTATGTTATTGTTACCCATTTGTTTAGTTATATTAATGCTTTATATGTATTTTAAGTCTCGGCTTATATAATATATTTGTATTGTATGTAAATTTAAACTGACCGACTAAGCGTTTGATTTTTTTTTCCGTAACGATCCTACTGCTTACTATAAAACGTTCTACTACGAAAGTTTATTTCAACATTTATTTATATTGTTAGATATGGGCGTTACGTCATAATATATATTTTATTCGGTGTTTGCGATCGATTCTGTAGTATGTTTTACGGAACCTTTCTTCTGTTTGTCCTTCTTCTCTTACCTTTAGCCTTCATTATGTGAGGTTGGCGCAGCAATTCCTCTTATCATGCTGCATGAGGTTTTGTTATGAGTTCTACGACCGATCGCTAGCGTGACGTTAATATAGGCTTAAGAAAGTAAATATAAAAATATTGACCTCTATATAGGTATTATTAGAATCTCGACTAAGATCGGGCGCTTGTCTAAAATCGACGGTTTGGTAGGGATTTTTCTCTTCAAAAACCCCTCCACAGCCATATCGCGTATCCTCATGATAGGCCAAGTGTATTGCTGGTTGCTGTATCTCCATCACTTTCTTTGATGATTTGACAATTTATATTTCTGTCTCATGAAACGGCGGTACTTTGTACGCGTGTGAAGAAAGAAGCACTTGTCATATGACTGATAATGCCCATAACTAAAGAATATAGAAAAAAATATGTTTTCGTTAAAAGTATACATAACATATAAAATCTGCATGTTTACATCTGAATGTTTGTTGAACTGTAAATCCTATTTGCTAACAAAACCTTCGAGAATTTTTTATATTTTTACCAAATTCCTGATTGTGGTGTTTATTTTAATTAACAAAATTTTTATTGTTTATTCTAAAAGATACATTTGATTGAGACGAAATAAAAAAAAAGTTTTAACTTTTTTAAAATTATTTTACTAAATTATTGCCTCTCTTAAAATTGGTGTTATATGATTAGATTATAATTGGCTGTTGTTCTACTTTCTATTCTTTCAAAGATATTTATATTATAAAGTTGTGGTAAAACTAATTTCGAGTCAAAACTTGTATCTTTTTCAATAAATGAATTAATCAATAAATAATCAGACAAGGGGTGTGGCATTCTAGTCAGTGTGATCATTCTAAGAAATTTTTATTACAACAGTAATATATATGTATCGTAAGTTTCATTATTTAATAAAAAAAATATGTAATATATATAACTAGATTAATTATAATTTATATAAAAAACTAAATGTTACTTTCTAAGAACAATTAATTTTTATAATAAAATTGGTAAACCAAAGTTTTTTTTTTTTAAGTTTTGTAATCAGAATTGTTTGTATTGCCTTAGTAGGTAAATGAGTATACAGCCCACTTGATGGCAATCAGTCACAGTTGTTTATGGACATCAGCAATGCCAGGCTCGCAGCCAAGCCGTTATGTACCACTAAGCGAATAACCGAAGCCTAATTTCGTAATGTCTGTTCTTATGTTATAGCCGTTTGCTTGGATATAACAGAAAGTATGTGTCTTCTATAGGTGATTTTTTTTATTTTTTCTATTGCTTAAATGGGTGGACGAGCTCACTGCCTGGTGTTAAGTGGTTACTGGAACCCATAGACATTTACAATGTAAATGCGCCACCCACCTTGAGATGTAAGTTCTAAGGTCTCAGTATAGTTACCCCACCCTTCGATAAGACCAAAATTTTCGATTAGCTTTTTTAATGGTGGTAGGACGTCTTGTGAGTCCGCACGGATAGGTACCACCACCCTGTTTATTTCTACCGTAAAACAGTAAGGCGTTACGGTTTGAAGGGCGGGGCAGCCGTAGTAACTGTAAAAACTGAGACCTTAAACCTTATATCTCAAGGTGGGTGGCGGCGTCTACATTGTAGATAGAAACTAAGTTTGAAAAGAGTTCTAAAGTGGTAGGCAGCGGTCTAGGCCTCCAACTAAAGGTATCACCAGCCCTTATCGGCTGGGTTTAAGCAGTCTCCTTTCCAAGGTAATGAAGAATTGGCATTTAGAGTCTACATGAATTTTTCGTCTTTTGTGTATATGTTTCTGACACTTCAGAAAAAATCGTCAAGAAAACAGAAAACAATCTTAGACAGGACTTCTGACAGAGTTAAATACTATTCTTTTTTTATTACCTAGACGAGTGAACGATATCACGGCCCATCTGATGTTAAGTGGTTTCCGGAGTCCATAGACGTCAACAACGTAAATGCCACCAACCTATATATGTATTCGAAGGGTCTGAAAAATTACAATGACCGTTAAAACGCGACATTAAGTCGTAAAAGTAAAAAAAGTTATTATAAAAAAAAAAAGAGTGAATACGTTCTTGGGGAGTTAGGGGAGAACGGTAACAACACCTCCACCGACCCTACAGTCAACCTCACCTGCGCGCGCCGGATGGCGGCGGAAACCAATTGGTTTCCGTGGTACTCCCTGCTAGATAACAAACGAGGCAATGGCGACCGAGCAATGGCGGTATAACCATACAACCTGCCAAGCAATTGGTTGGAAGAGGCTATAGCAAGCCTGGGGATCTAAATAATCTTTAAAACGTCTAGAGTAGTAGGAAGAAAAAGGAACCCAAATGAATGCAAATTTGAAAAACAAACTACCCCAGGAGGGTACCGGTAATACCGGAGAATCCCTCCCTGAGTCTAACTCAGGCAGCCCCTCGTATTCTGGGGGGGGCACAACTTTGCGATCTGATGGATATGGAATCAACCCTATGAATAAACCAAAATTACCTAATATGGTACAACAAACTTTTCACCGCAGCATGTTTGAAAGAACACGAAGTAACTCATTAAGTGCCATAAATAAAGAACAAGAACCTACGCTATTCCTAACCACAACTAAAGACCTTGAACATAGTACATGGCAGAGTGACCAGGTTCCTCTAATAAAAAGGAAGAGAACTGAATCGCACTCAGATTTAAAAGGAAACATTAATAAGTTACAGAAAACCACATACCCGATACCTACCCATAATCAATTTGAAACATTAGAGATACTCGATGAAGACGGAAGCGATCCTAAACCAAAAATACCTAAGCCCGAACCTATATTTGTTACGGGTGTGGCATACATAAAAACCCTCAAGGACATACTGAACAAAATTACCAATGATGACCCAATGACATATACTATGACCACTTTGAGGTCAGGACATGTAGTAAAAATCTTACCAAGAGATATAGAAATGTACAAGAAGATCAGAGACAATTTTATTACAAACAACATCAGTCATTATACATATAAGCTCAAAAGCGAAAGGGCTTACAGAGTCGTTCTCCGTGGGCTTCACTCAACTGAGGACACGGAAGTTATCAAATCTGAATTAAGAGATTTAGGCCATGAAGTCAGA